TTCAGTTTCATACGTTGTTTACCTAATGGGTTTAGGGACCTTAGGACTTGATGCCTTTTTTTTTTTTCTTCTGATACTTAATCTTTTGACATGAACTTACTTGGCATAGCATTGATATTTGACTAAATGGCTTATTGACTGACTTAGGAGAATGAGAAAATGCCTTGACTAATTCCTTCACCCCAGATAATTTCATTTGAATATTATTTAATTATATAACATGGGTATTTGAAGGAGGTCTTCTAAAAGTGGTAGATGATAAGGTTATAATCTACCTTAAGGTTAACTTGATGGGAGATTTGAGTATCCTCTCAGTTCATAAAACTACAAATATTATTGATGGCCTTAAAATAACTGTATCTTCTTTTTAAAGAAACATCAAAAGTAATTTGACTTGATCTCCTATTGTAATTACTTTTACCTAACATGGATTATATAAATGTCTTATTTGTTCTAAATATGTTGCCTGTTACTTTCATTGAATATTAGCTTGTTGTCATATTGTGGATCATATAGATCATGCAGATCATACTAAACTATGAAAGCCCCTTCCAGTATTATACATGTGGTAACTTAAATTATTTTTTACATTAGTGGTTTATGGTGCCATTACCTTGACATCAAAGTACCTTGGTGCCTTTACCTTGACATCAGAGTAATTTAGACTATAAAAAGGTATTTACTGTTTGGAGTTTAATTGGGCAAGATTGAAGACAATTTATAATATCTACATTTTATATTTTTAAAAATTTAATACTTTGTTTTTTCCTAAGAGTAAACTCTGTTGAGTAGTTTGTTTTTCTTCCTGTTGCCCATAGTTGACAGACAATAATAAGACCCTATATTATTATTATTATTTTTAAACAGAATCTTGCTCTGTTGCCCAGGCTGGAGTACAGTAGTGCAATCTGGCTCAAACAATTCTCATGCCTCCTGTGCCTTCTGCCTCCCAGGCTCAAGCAATTCTCGTGCCTCAGCCTCCCAAGAACCTGGGATTACAGGTGCATGCCGTGCACTGCCTAATTCTTGCATTTTTAATAGAGATGGGGTTTCACCATGTTGGCCAGGCTGGTATTGAGCTCCTGGCCTCCAGCGATCTACCCACCTTTGCCTCTGAAAGTGCTGGGATTACAAGCATGAGCCACCATGCCTGGCTAGGACCCTGCGTTTGATTAAGGCTTTTAAACAATTAAAAATAAATAAAACCTTCAAAGAGAGGCTACCTTTTCTGATCCTCCATTTAAAAAACTAACCTTCTGGCCGGGCGTGGTGGCTCAAGCCTGTAGTCCCAGCACTTTGGGAGGCCGAGACGGGCGGATCACGAGGTCAGGAGATCGAGACCATCCTGGCTAACATGGTGAAACCCCGTCTCTACTAAAAATATAAAAAACTAACTGGGCGAGGTGGCGGGTGCCTGTAGTCCCAGCTACTCGGGAGGCTGAGGCACGAGAATGGCGTGAACCCGGGAGGCGGAGCTTGCAGTGAGCTGAGATCCAGCCACTGCACTCCAGCCTGGGCAATAGAGTGAGACTCCGTCTCAAAGGAAAAAAAAAAAACAAAACTAACCTTCTAAAACTTCTACATTGTATATAAAATTTAAACATATTTTTCTTATGAGATATATTCATACTGATATATTTTCTCAATTGTTTTGATCTCAGTTTGCCCTTCTACACATAAGAATTATGCATTGTTGGAATAAAGGTTCCTTTTTAGAAAATACAAACCACTCTAGCTACTTTAAGCAGAAGGGGGTTTAGCATAGTGAATTAAGTGCTTACAAAATCATTGGAGAAACAGTCTAAGAATGAATCCCAGAACAGCCGAGTCCCAGCACAGTATAAAGCTGAAATTGGCCAACCGAGAGAAATACTGCCTCTACCACAATGAAGAACCTGAAGCTGTCTTCAGGATTACATCACTTTAGCTGTGATCTTTGATGAACAGGAAGCTGCTGTGCCATGACTATAGATTCTAGAAGCATACCTTGCTTCTAGATCTGTACCAGGAGAGGTGATGCCACTTGTGCTTCCTCTCACTCTCCATTAAATTAGAGTCAACACTGGGACCTCTGTTAAAGCTGCTTCAGAAAAACCAAGTATCTTTACAACTATTCTAACCAGCACAAGTTGGTGAATTATAGTTAACACCATCTTTCCTCCTTTCAAATCTCATGTTAGTGCATCTGAATAGTTAAACCAAAATCACACCTGAAACTCTGGCTGCTAAGGATTCCGGGAAATACAGTTTCTAACTTTCCAGCTCTATAAAATAGAAAGGTGTCTTGGAAGCTGGAACGGATAGGTGATGCCAGTTTATCATATTCTGTACAAGCAGAGGTATTAAGAGTATAGGGTCTGTAGTCAGGCAGCTTGTATTTTAACTTTAGGTTTGCCTCTTGTGAACTCTCCGATGTTGGGCAAATTACGTAACTGCCCTGTGTTCTAGTTTTTTCTCTCACGTAATGGGTATCTATCCCATAGTGATGTTTGAGTATTTAATGAAGAATGTGGTAAGACTTGCATTAATTCTTACTCAGACATTTCATATAATTTTCTTGTGAGCAATCTGGGCCTGGATTATTCTTTGTGGTAAGTTTTATATGTATGAATTCAGTTTTTGAAATAGTTTAAACTATTGGGATTTTCCATTTCTTCTTGTGTCAGTTTTATTAGTTGTGTTTTTCTAGAAATTTGTCCATTTCATCTAAATTTTCAAAGTTAGTTTTCATAAATATCCCTTCATTATTGTTTTTTAATGTCTACAGGATTTATATTATAGTAATCTCCCTATATCACATTGATACTTCTTCCTTTTTTTCTTATTAGTCTTATTAAGGATTTATCAATTTTATCAATCTTTTCAAAGAAACAACCTTTGGTGTTATTGATTCTCTCTCCTATGTTTGTTTTCTATTTCATTAACGTGTACTCTTTCAGGGATCTAATTTGCTTATTTTTCAAATTTTTGCAATGAATGCTTATTAACTTTTGACCTTTCCATATTTTTTTCTATAAGCCTGGATTTAGCTGCATGTTATATGTTTTGAAATGTATTTCTATTATTCAATTCAAAATTACTTTATAATTTTCTTTGTTTTTTTTCAGAGATAGAGCCTCACTCTGTCACCCAGTTTGGAGTGCAATGGCTTGATCATTGCTCACTGCAGCTTCAGACTCCTAAGCTCAAGCAATCCTCTTGCCTCAGCCTCCTGAGTAGTTAGGACTACAGGCATACACCACCACATCCTGCATAATTATTTTTATTTTTAAATTTTTTTGAGACAGAGTCTCGCTGTTGTCACCCAGGCTGGAGTGCAATGGCGCAATCTTGGCTTACTGCAACCTCCGCCTCCTGGGTTCAAGCGATTCTCCTGCCTCAGCCTCCCTGTTAGCTGGGATTACAGGCCCGCGCCACCACGCCTGGCTAATTTTTGTATTTTTAGTAAGGTTAAGGTTTCACCATGTTGGCCAGGCTGGTCTCAAACTTCTGACCTCTGGTGATCTACCCACCTCGGCCTCCCCAAAGTGCTGAGATTACAGGCATGAGCCACTGTGCCCAGCCTATTTTTATTTTTTGTAGATATGGGGTGTTGTCATGTTGCTCAGGCTGGTCTGGAACTCCTGGCCTCAAGCAGTCCTCCTGCCTCAGTCTTCCAAAGTGTTGGGATTACAGGCATGAGCCACTGCACCTGGCCTATAATTTTTATTGTGTGTTATTTTTCTGGTTCATAGGTTATTTATAAGTACATTGCCTAGTTTCCAAATATATTTGGCTTTTTAAATATCTTTTTATTTATTTTTGTTTGCTTATGAGTCAGAAGTTATTTTATATCTAAGATTTTTCTATCATGGGAAATGTCAAACATGTATAAAACTAGAGAGAATAATATAATAATCATTCAGGTACTGATAAGCTTCAGCAATTTTAACTCATGAACAACGGTGTTTAATCTCACTTCTCCCATTGCCCCCCACACCATTATTTTGAAGCAAATCTCACATGTCATTTTTTTCTTCAGATGTTTCATTATGAACTTATAAAAATGACATTAAAAAATCATAATACCACATCAACCCAAAATAATTAATTGATGTCATGAAAGATCTGATCAGTTTTCAAATTTTTCTCATTTTGTCATAATTTTTCTTTATAATTTGATTATTTTAGAATAGGATCCAAATAAAATCCAAACGTTATTATTGGGTTATATCTCCCACACTTTAAAATCTGTCTTTCAGCAACACCAGCAAAATTATTCATTATGCTAAAACATACATACCTTGCATACTCAATATATCTCCCCATTCCTAGGTAAGTTTTGAAATTCAATTTTTCTCTCCTAGCTCCATAGGCTATTAAAGATGCAACTAATCTTCTCGATTCTTTCTTTTGGAATTGACAAATATCCCCAGGAGAAAAGTGGTTGCAAAAGTCAGAGTAACCTTTGTAGGTTTTCTCCTTTTAAAGATATCAGACTGCGGGCGAGGTGCTGTGGCTCACACCTGTAATCCCAGCACTTTGAGAGGCCAGGGTTGGAGATCACTTGAGCCCAGGAGTTTGAATTCAGCCTGGGTAATATAGGGAGACCCCACCTCTACAAAAAATTTAAAAAATTAGCCAGTCGTGGTGGTGCATACTTGTAGTTCCAGCTGCTAGGGAGCCTGAGGTAGGAGGATCGCCTGAACCTAGCTGGGTGACAGGCTGGGTGACAGTGAGGCTGGGTGACAAAGTAGGATCCTGTCTCAAAAAAAAAAAATATATATATCTATATATATCAGATTTGTAAATCTTCACTATCTTTGCTCTGTGATGTCTTCAAGTAATGTTTTAAAATATTTTGTTCATCTTTTATAGTTATCTTCAGTAGGAGATATATGTGAATTATCTAATCTGTCATTATTGGAAAGTCCCCTTACCACTTAAATTTTGAACATTTTGAACACTTAACTACTATGTGTTTATATAACATGACTGCAATATTTGGTTTTATTTCAAAGGTTCTGAAGCAAAAACACCTGGATGATTGCCTGCGACATGTATCTGTAAGAAGATTTGAATCATTTAATCTGTTTTCAGTAACAGAAGTCAAAGAAAGGGAAACTGAAAAGGAGGTTGGTGCATGGGTCCAATATACAAGCATCTTCTGTCCTGAATACAGTATCTCCATAAGGTAACCATTATTCTAGTTAAGATTTGTAAAAACTAGATTTTTCTTGGATGAGAAAAACAATCTAATAAGAATCTCATTATTTATTCTATTGAGTTTACAGACAATCTTTATCAGAACTTAGGTTTTACAACTTGTTTTAGGAAATCCTACTGTTTTAACTGGGTCTTGCTGTATTGTCAGACTAAAGAAAAAAATCCTCACGAATATAGTGTCATTTGAAGATAAGGTGGTTGCAAATCAAAGGGTTCATTTAAACATTCTGTCATAGCATATGTTTATGACAAAAAGCCGTGTTTGTTTTGAGGCAAAGAAGGCTGAAAGTGAAAACAGAATTTTTCCAAACTACCCTTCAAGTAGTAATCTGAAAAATCAAGCTTTGGTATTTTTTCCATTTATTTATTTTTATTACTTTCAGAATAGAATCAATCTTAAGACTAAAGGAGAAAATTCAAGTGAAAACACTGATATTGTAAGAAGCATATGGACTGTTCTGACTTTAAAAATCATTAGAAAAGAGACAAGAGAGTTGCAGACTGCAGTAACGAGATACCATTTTACTGAATTAATTTTGTCTCACAGTTATATTCTAGCATGTTGCAATATTACTGTAGGTGTTTGATTTTATAAAATCTGCCTTTTCTGACAGGATTTCACATTTTGAAAGGGAGGGAGGAGCACATTTACAGTAACTGTAAGAAGAGCAAAAAACATTTTAAGTGGAAATGTGACTGAATAAGGTTTAGGTGAGGCTAGGAATAATTTTAAGAAAAAATTTTCACAAAGGATGTCTATTTATAGTATATGTTTCTCGAGCTATTTTAGTTTAGAATATCTAAGTTTTAAAAGATATAATAGCTAAAAATTTTGGATTTGGATAAAAATTGACTAGGATGGGCAGGAAAGAACAATTAGAATATGGTTTTATAATATTATTTTACTGAAAATGCCGAGTGGGTACAGTAGCTCATGCCTGTAATCCCGGCACTTTAGGAGGCCAAGGCGGGTGGATCACTTGACCCTAGGAGTTCAAGACCAGCCTGGGCAACATGGCAAAACCCCACCTTTACAAAAAAATACAAAAATTAAATACAAATAATACAAATAATAAAAAATACAAAAATATAAAAAAAAAAAAATTGGTAGCCTGTAGTCCCAGCTACTCAGGAGGCTGAGGCAGGAGAACGGTGTGAACCTGGGAGGCAGAGCTTGCAGTGAGCCGAGATCGTGCCACTGCACTCCAGCCTGGGTGACAGAGAAAGACTCCATCTCAAAAAAAAAAAAAAAAGCAAAGCAGTTGGGGCATCCTAATTAGAATCTTATAATGAATGTACAGGTATACCCAAAAATCTGTAAGTTTGTATCTTTTATTTGGCATTTTCTTTACTTTTATTTGATTTCTTTCTTTTTTTTTTTTTTTTGAGGCAGAGTGTTCCTGTGTCACCCAGGCTGGAGTACAATGGCACAATCACAGCTCACAGCAGCCTCAACCTCCTGGGCTCAATCAATCTTCCCACCTCAGCCTCCGGAGTAGCTGGGATTACAGGCGTGTGCCACCACACCTGGCCAATTTTTTTGTATTTTTAGTAGAGATAAGGTTTTACCATCTTGGCCAGGCTGGTTTTGAACTCCTGAAATCAAGTGATCCACCTGCCTTGACTTCCCAAAGTGCTGGAATTACAAGTGTGAGCCACCATGCCCAGCCTACTCCAGGTTCTACTAAGGGGCTAAGCATTAGAGATGTCGGGCTGGGCACAGTGGCTCATGCCTGTAGTTTCAGCACTTTTGGGAGGCTGAGAAGGGTAGATCACTTGAGCCTAGGAGTTCAAGACCAGCCTGGCCAACCTGCTGAAACCCTGTCTCTACTAAAAATACAAAAAAAAAATTAGCTAGGCATGGTTGTTCATTATAATCCCAGTTACTCGGTGGCTAACACATGAGAATTGCTTGAACCTGGGAGTGGAGGTTGCAGTCAGATGAGATTGTGCCACTGAACTCCAGCCTGGGTGACAGAGTGAGACTGTCTCAAAACAAACAAACAAACAAACAAACAAACAAACAAGACACTGGGGATGTTACCGTAATTGTAAACCCCATTTTCACTTTCTCAGTTCTTACCGCCTGAGATCACCTGCCGCAGCTTAACAGAGAGAACACACACAGGGTGATCAGTACTTGTTATCAATACTTATTAGTTTTGTCTATCTTAAACTATTGCTACCCACTAATTTGTCTCCTTAAAGTTTTATTAGAGTTGAAATGAATACCCCCAAGAGGGTTAATACCTAGGTATTTGTGAATTCAAAATACCTACTTGTATCTTGTTTATATAAGCAGTGGCCTTAATAAAAACTTTGACCATTATTTTCTGTCAGCCTTATATAATGATACTTAAAATGAAGGAATAATTTTCCCTTAGTGACTTTTCATCTGAAGCTAAGGTTTGAACAATGTAAAAGTTAGGTTACAAAATTCCCAAGGTTTGTTGTCGTCTTTGTCTACCTGTGGATGGTCCACTCTTTGTTTCAAATTAAATGTTGAGAGTTTTAAAATGAAAATCCATGGTATGACTCCTGGATTTTGTTTATTGACAAAATATTCTTGCCTTTCTGGTTCTTTCTTTCTTTCTCTTTTTTGAGATGGTCTCACTGTATTGCCCAGGCTGGTGTGCAGTGGCATGATCATAGCTCACTGAACTCTTGACCTCCCAGGCTCAAGCAATCCTCCTGCCTTAGTCTCCCAAGTAGCTAGGACTACAGTTACATGCCACCATGCCCAGCTAAGTTTTGTATATTTTGTAGAGATGGAGTTTTGCTGTGTTGCCCAGGCTGGTCTCAAACTGCTGGGGTCAAGGGATCTGCCTGCCCTGACCTCCCAAAGTGGTGGGATTACAGGCATGAGCCACTATGCCTGGCATTTGGTACTTTATTTCTTAGAACTTTGTAGAAGAGGCTCTTGTTATTAGATGGATGCAAGTTTATAAACGAAGAGATACCAGGAAATGTTTATACTAAAATTCTTTAATTAAAATTTTCTTTTCCCTGTCTCATAAACTGTAATCTATTGTATAAAGCTTGCTGTGTAGACACAAATTGTTCCTATCTCCCGTATTCCAACTTAATTTCAGCACAGCAGGAGTTTGCATATTCTGGAAGCTTTAAATTACTTCCATTATATATGGAACCATATAAGTGCCTGACTTATTCATTTATAAGTGTATGCATGTCTTAGGTATAGAAAAAGCTGAGAGGCCTGAACTGTCCTCCTTTGTTTGAATAAGACTGCTGTTGCTATGGTAATTGCTGAATTAGAAGGCTAGAACTCTTGACTTTTGGCTTGTCCTGGGAACTTAGAATGGGCAAAAAGTCAAGAATGACTTTGTCTTTGACTGTGTTGCATCTTTCTATTATAACAAATGCACTACACCGAGATCATACCTTCCATTTCTAGGGAAAGAAAAAGACCAAACCCTCACCTCATTATTTTAGTTATGTAGCTTGTGAATGTTCAGTAAATAAAAACTAGTGATTAGATGGTTTGCTTATGAATTAGATGTATGACATATTATTTTTGTATGTGTGGTATAACCTAGGTGCCTATATAGAGCTTGGCAAGGCTGGCATCTGAGACAAATATGAATACTGCATCTATATTTAAAAGCATAGTTTTAATGTTAGTAGAGATATTAACAACAGAGCTGAGCATTAGTAATAAAACAGCGTTTTTTAGGACCTGTAAAATATGATCCATACTTTTCAGAAAACTGTGAATTCCACTGTGTCACATTTTTATGGATCTTAAATCATAGATATGGGCTACTATAACTTAGTTTTCTAATTTGTTTTAAATCTCATCACAATTTTTTTACGTAGTGTGCTTACATATAAATATACTGTTTCAGTACATTGAAATGTTCCCTTAAACATTTTCCAAATTCCAATATAGTACATGTAGAAACCATCTACTAATTTCCTACAACTCATAGATATAAGACTGGAAAACATCTCTTTAGCTATTTATTTTTAAAATTTTTATTTTTTAACCACTTATTTTTGAAAGAACTCCAAAGCATCTAGAATTAAGTTTATTTGTTTGTTTGTTTGTTTATTTTGAGACAGAGTCTCACTCTGTCACCAGGCTGGAGTGCAGTGGCATGATCTTGGCTCACTGCAACCTCCGCCTCCCAGCTTCAAGTGATTTTCTTGCCTCAGCCTCCTGAGTAGCTGGGACTACAGGTGCATGCCACCATGCCCAGCTAATTTTTGTATTTTTAGTAGAGACGGGGTTTCACCATATTGGCCAGGATGATCTCAATCTCTTGACCTTGTGATCCACCTGCCTCGGCCTCCCAAAGTGCTGGGATTACAGGCGTAAGCCGCTGTACCCAGCCTAGAATTAAGTTTTTCAAACCTTCTGAAAACCTCTCCTCTTTGTTCTTCTGCAGCCTTTTAGGACGCATTCTACTCTCTGGCTTCCTTTGTATTTTTGGATCAATTTTCTTTTACTCACAATACAATTTACATAACAAAATTTACTATTTTCATCATTTTAAAGTATGAAATTCAGTGGCTTTGAGTATATTTACAATGTTGTACGGCCTTCATCACTATTCCAGAACTTTTTCATTACCCTGAAAAGAAACCCCATATACATTGGCTATAACTCCTCATTCTCCTCCTTCCCCTAGTCCCTGGCAACAGTAATTGACTTTCTGACTCTATGTATCATCTGTTCTGGACACTCTACGTAAATGGAATCCTACAATATGTGGCCCTTTATGTCTGTCTGCTTTCACTGAGCATAATATTTTTAAATTTAAGATTCAGCCATATTATACCACATATCAGTGCCTCATTCCTTTTTTATGGCTAATATCCCACTGTATGGCTAATGTATTTTGTTTATTTTTTCATCAGTTGATGAACATTTGGATTGTTTCTACTTTTTGGCTATTATGAGTAATAACACTATGAATATGCATGTACAAGTTTTTGTGTGAACAT